CCACTTATATGCTGGTGTATCTGTGCTCCCCCTCAACTCTGACAGGATGTGGGGTGACCCCCACTTACTTGCTGATGTACTCGGCGTTGAGGAGCTTCCCACAAGCTCTGCACTTGAAACAGCCCAGATGCCAGTGTGTGTCCAGGGCCAGGAGGGACTGGCCATTCCTGATCTCGGAGCCACAGCCTCCACAGTCTGCAGGAGAGACGGGGCATACTCAGAACCAGCCAGGTCAGCCAAGGGCGCAGAGCAGACTGGCACCAGCAGGCTTGTGGGCACCTGTCCCACGGAGGCCCTGAGAAGATGGACGGGGGACTGGCAGACCCCGTTACAGGTTGAGAGGGTACACCACTGACAGTGAAACCTACACAGATCGAGCACCAACTGCATGCCAGCCTGGATGGGGAGCTGGGGGTGCCGGATGGCGGGGCGGTGGGGCCCTGGGTTCCCCCTTTTCCTCCTCTGCTGGAAGGTAGAACTGTGGAGTGAACTGTGCTCTGGTGTGATCGTCAGAGACCCTGCCCTTCAGGGCACCAGGAGGGCTCCTTGGAGGAGGTGGCACTGAGCAGACCCAGGACTCTGAGGACATGGGGTATGGCCTCTTGGACAGACAGACACAGAGGTCAGCATCCTGAGAGGCCCCAGTGGTTTTCTGGATGCCCAGCCTAGGCCCAGTGGATGTCTGCCAGGCCCTGGTCCTGGGGGCCTCTCCCTCCACCACCCAATCTCCCCCCCTTCCCATTAGTGGTTTATGCTCTGCTGTCCACCCAGTCTGGGTCCCTCTTGGCCCCCACACCCACCTGGGACTGGCTGAGGGACCAGCCCTGAGCTCAGGTCCCCCCAACCCTGCAGGGCACATGTGAACCTCAGTCCAGCATGGGAAGGAGGTGGACCAGGGACCTGGGAAGCACCAGTGAGATGTGAACCCATGAGCGCTGCCCTGCGCCCAGTAACGGGGCTGAGCACACGCTGCTGGCACGTGTAGTATCACACAAGCCTATTTTTCTTCTTTAAAGAAAAGCACATTGAACGCCCACAGAAGTGTTGGTCAAAATCCTGCGCTTCCTAAATTATCACACCGCACAAATTCACCAGCCACTGGGAAGCAAACAAAGACCAGACTCGGATTATGAGACTGGGGGGGGGGGTGCTGTGAAGGATGGGGGCGCCTTTTACTCACCTGGATGTCCAGGGAGGAGAAAGAAGGGAGAGGATGGATATTGAGGAAGGGGGAGAGTGGAAGAAAGGAGAGAGGGACGGCTGACTGGGGACAAGACAAGAGGACACCCCCTTCCTAAATCCAGGCTCCCATGGGGCAGGGTGACCACCTGGTCACAGGTCTACACACTCTAGTCTCTTGATCACTTCACAGCTCCTCATGGGCACCTGCCATCAGCTCTATACCTGGGGGTCAGTTTGGCCCCACACGCCCAGGGATGTCTGGAGAAGGATTTGTTTGTCACCGTTGTGTGAAAACATGACCCAGGAGGTCAGAGGGCAGGGTGCTGCTCCACACTGTGCTGTGCATAGGACCCCCAACTTCAGGACGTGGGTGGGACACCCCTGTGCTTGGGTTAAGGGTGGGGGTGGGTGGCTGAAGGTGTGGTTAGCGCCCCCCCTCCTCCCAGAGGTAAAGCAGACACACTCTTTGTGGGGGATCATTTGGTGCTCCCCCAAGGATTGTGAAGAGGCTACAAGGATTGTGAAGCCCATATAGATGTTGGTCTGGAAGTGAGACCTTGCTCAGTAAACCCTGCCAAGTGGGGCGTTGGGGGTGGGGGGCTGCTCTGAACATCACTGCATTTCGGGGAGAGGTCCTGACAGCTACAGGCCTCCCCCTCCCCACCCAGCCCTGAATGACCCTCAGAGGTTCTGTCTCAACCTCTGGGCACTCAGGATCCAGGGTGGGTAGGGGGAAGGGTCCCGGCTGCATTGTATCTGGGATTTTCAGGAGGGACTCAACCCTTACAGCCAGCCCCCACACACCCCCACTCCTCCATGTAAACCGGGGCTGGGAGTGGGCTTTGTTCACAGTGGGGCCAGGTGTAGCAGTGAAGAGGCATCCATCGCCATGGGAACAGCAGGCTTCCCTCCCTGCATGCTGGAGCTCAGAGGAGCTTGGCAGAAAGCCATGGAGTCTCCTGTGATAACCTTGCAGGAAGGGTTGTCGGCGTAGGGGTATCCCCAATCTGTGAGGGGTCACTGGGAAGAGCTTTCTCTCCCAGACCAGAGACCCCTGCCCACCCCGGCTGGCTTTATCATAAACAGCAACAGGAGGATTGGGGCCTCTTCCCCTGAGTGACCCTTCTAGAACCTTCCAACAGCCTCCCAGTTCCACATAGCCATCGCTCTTCAGGGACCGCAAGGACTGGACCAGGCTCAGCTCCTCACTGACTGGCCCTGGGTCCTAGGGGTACCGGCTGGTCTCCCTGCATCAGCTAGGATTCTGAGGGGCCAAGTGTGAGATGGACCCACCCTGTAGCCCCCCGCAAGGCTGGAACGCATGACTCACAGCTCAGGGGAAGGGGGGCTGGCTCAGAACCAAACCTGGCGGGTCACCCTTGAAAACGGGCAGTGTAGGTCTAAACCGGAAGTGGCAGAGGAGTGGTGGTCTCCCAGTCCCAGGCTCACTCTCTTCATCTTTTCTCGATCCTCTGTTCCCTCCTTAAACCTCAGGGCCATGCTTAAGGAAGGGGCTTCTCCCATTTCCCCAGGCACAGGGGGGCACATCCTTACACCGAGTACAACAACCCCGGGGCCTTGGGGAACTGAAGACTCCAATCCTGTTCTCTGCCAGCACACCCCCAGGGGTCAAGTGTGTGAAGTGTAGCTGGCAGGGGCCACACCCGCCTCTGTCTCCCAGGGGCCAATCAGGTTGTCCTTCCAAGCCTCAGCTGGGCGGGGCTAGACTCCAGTGGGTGGAGCCTCCCTAAGAAATCCAAGTCCCCAACATTCCCACCTCCAGCTTGCTCTCCAGAGCACCCACCCAATGCTGACTCCAGAGCCAGGCCACACATCCGGTGGGGTATAGAGTTGGGGCAGGAGGGTGCCATCCAGCGCTGGAACTGGATTTGGGCAGGGGGCTGGAAGGGGGAGCCAGGGGCCACAGGGCTGTGCTTCAAGGCCAACAGTAGGGAAGTTGAGGCAGGTAGGGCTGAGGAAAGCTTCAGCATGAAGAAAGGTGCTGGGGGTGAGGGGAAGGAATTCTCCTGGCAGTGATGTGGGCAAAGCAACCTGAAGTCGATCCCGTTCCTAAGAAACAGGTTCAGGGTCACTTCGTGGAACAGGGAAACTTAGTGCCTCCAGATCCAAGCTTCACTCCAACCTGAATAGCTCCCCTGCCCTCTCCAAACCCCACCCCATACCTGTGAACTGGCGGCCACCTGCAGCTAGCTACCCACTGCATATGGGCTGCCGCCCTTCCCCCAGGCCCTGCACCCTGGCCAGCAACTATTCCCCTCAGGCTCATCTTCCTACCAGTTAGAACTGACCTCAGCACTCCCTCACTCAGTAACCATCTATGGCTCCCAACCAGAATGCAGCTCACACTTTTGGCATAACTTTAGAGAAGCATTGTCCTCTGGTTTCAATCTCTCCAGCTTCACTCCAGTTCCCTGGCCACACCCTCAGCATTTCCCTTCACCAGCACCTCCCACCTCCCACTCCTGTCAGTTTATCGTACTGTGATGGCTTGGGTGATGCTGTGATTCTGAAAGCTATGCCACCAGTATTTAAAATACCAGCAGGGTCACCCATGGTGGACAGGTTTCAGCTGAGCTTCCCAGACGAAGATAGACTAGGGAGAAGGAGAGACAGACTACTTCTGAATATTTAGTCACTGAAAACCTTATGAATAGCAGTGGAACACTGTCAGCACCAGAATACTGAATATTGAAAAATAATGAAGAGCAGATACAGTGCCGGAAGATGAGCCCCTCAGGTTGGAAGGCACTCAAAATGCGACTGGGGAAAAGCTGCCTCCTCAAAGTAGAGCTGACCGTGATGACGTGAATGGAGCAAAGCCTTGAGTACCTTCACTTGCTGATGGGGCACAACTCAAAATGAAGAGAAACTGCTGTAAACATCCATTAATAACTGCACCTTGGAATGTACAAAGTATGAATCCAGGGAAATTTGAACTTGTCAAAAGTGAAATGAACCAACGCATCAACATCGATATCTTAGGCATTAGTGAGCTGAAATGGACTGGTATTGGCCATTTTGGATCTGACAACCACATGGTTTACTATGCAGGGAATGACAAATTGAAGAAGAATGGTATTGCATTTATTGTCAGAAAGAACATATCCAGATCAGTTATGAGGTACAACGCTGTCTATGATAGGATAATATCCATGTGCCTGGGAAGCCCAGTTAATACCACTAATATTCAGATTTATGCACCAACCACTAAAGCCAGTGAAGATGAAATAGAAGAATTCTACCAACTTCTTCAGTCTGAAATTGATCAAACATGCAATCAAGAAGTATTGATCATTACTAGTGATTGGAATGCAAAGGTTGGGAGCAAAGAGGAAGGATCAGTATTTGGAAAATATGGCCTCGGTGATAGAAACAATGCTAGCGATCTCATGATAGAATTTTGCAAGACCAATGACTTCTTCATTGAAAATACCTGTTTTTAAACAACATAAAAGACAACTACACACATGGACCTCACCAGATGGAATGCACAGAAATCAAATTGACTATATCTGTGGAAACAGATGGTGGAAAAGCTCCATATATTAGGCCAAAACAAGGCCAGGGCAGACTGTGGAGACCATCAATTACTCCATATGCAAATTCACACTGAAGCTCAAAAATTTTAAAACAGGTCCATAAGAGTCAAAATATGACCTTGACTACATCCTACGATCTGCTTCTGCAAAAGCAGCCGTCAAAAACCCTGTGGATCGAAGCTGTGCTCAGCTCGCCTTCAGTCAGGATCGACTTGGCGGCATCTGGTACTGGCACTGTTTTTGAAGCCAAGTCTACACAACTCGGCCAGCAACTACACTTCAGCTGGACTGGACTCGGCCCACTTCAGCTGGGGAGAAGTGTTTGGATGGGAAGTTCTCCTTCAGATCCTTCCAGCTTGTTCCCCTGGAATCCTCCACCACATTTCAGAGTGAAAGGATACCAACTCAAAGCTACTCGAGACCCCTGGGTGGGGGTGGACATCAGTGGGCAGCTGGGTCTGTCCCTAGCACATGGCACAGCCCCAGGCTGGAGAAGGCTGGCTCGCCTGCTCCCGCCCGGCCACACCTCCCCCTCCATCCCTTAACTAGTGCAGTCTGTGGGCACTGGTCCCGTGCATGGCAGCAATTGTCCGCGTCTTCACCTAAGCAGCACTGGCTGCTCACACACTCTGGTTAGTTCCTGGGTGATATTGCTTTCAGACCCCGCTCAGGGCTCAGGACGTGCCTGAAGGGCGGAGGTGTGTGTGTGTGTGTGCTGGCTGCCAACCCAGAAGTCCAGGAAGGCTTCCTGTAGGAGGCACACTCGGGAGCTGGAGGCCTGAAGCAGGAGTGGTACCCAGGGGAGGAAATGGACTGAGCAAAGGTTCAGCAACCAAGTCCAATACTGTACTCTGGTCACCTTCCTGAGAAGCCACCAGAATTCATTCCAGATCCCTGCCTCGGGGGCCAGTGTGGCCAGGTCCCTGCCAGTCACGGTCAAGGCCAGCCCCTCCCCACCACACTGCCCAGCACCCACTTACTCCGGAGGGCTTGGTGGGCACTGCTGCCCAGCGAGGCGGGCAGGGAGCACTTCTGACACCGGCATTCCTTCCCGTTGAAGGTCACTCGGTCTCCGGGCGGAAAGGGCAACCTGGAAAGACAGGGAAGGACAGTTGGGAACCGGAGCTACACCAGGCACTGCCCCTCCTCTTATGGAGTGGACACTGAGGGCGGGACCAGGGCCTCCGAGACGCCGAGACGGGTACTGCCATGGTCCTACTGTGGGGATGCCCAGTCTCCTCTGACCATGATGCTTTGTGATAATGGCATCATGGCTTTGTAATCATGGTAACAATGATGGATCATTATAATGACTTTGTAACAATTCACTCCAGTAATAACGGCAACAGCTCCACTTAGGGAACACACACCTGTGATGGATAGCTTACAGGCATGCCTCATTTAATAACTTTAGGGTGTTTGTCTAAGTTAGGATTCAGCTCTCCCACAATGGAGAAGACTGATGTCTACATAGAGTCATAGACCTTTCCAGGGACGCACAGCCAAGGGGGTGTTGGAACCAGACTGAAATCCAGCTCTGAGTACAGATCTCCACATTATACCTAGCTGGACCTTTAAGGAAGGAGAAAAGGAACAAAATCTAATCTGATCCTGACAAGTCAGCCCTTGAAAACCGTATGGAGCACACGTCTACGTGGATTCGAACCCCTTACAGATTCCAAGGTTGTGTACAATCGAATCAGGTCTTTATTGACTGGTGGAATGCTGAGATATGGCCCTGAGACCTGGAGCTGAGCCCTCCCCCAGGATCACCTGTCAGTCAAGCAACAGACAGGCCTATAAAGTGAAGGGACACCCATGAGTAATGTGCTCCTCACAACAAGACGTAAAGGGCAGCGTTTTCCCAAAACCAAAGCCTGGAAGAGCAGGCAAGAAGGACAAATGGAAACAGGAAACCCAGAAGAAAGTGAGAAGAATGCTGATACTCTGAAGGGAGTGCAGCTGATGTCGCAAGGCAGCCTGTGCGTCAATGGTTGAATGGGAAACGAATAGGCTCCGCCAACTTCCATCCAAACCACGGTGAACTGTCCCCCAAAATGTTTGAGTTTTGTCCACCCTGGATTTTTATTTTGATTCATTTTCATCTTTTTAAGCATTGCATTGAAATGTGATCTCTCTTAATTACTGAATTTCCTGTTGTTGTTTTTAGGTGCTATCGAGTTGGTACTGACTCATAGTGACCTTATGCACAGCAGAATGAAACACTGCCCGGTCCTGGGCCAACCTCACAATTGTTACCACGCTTGAGTCCATCGATGCTGCCACTTGGCCAATTCATCTCGATGGAGGGCTTCCTCTTTTTCTCTGACCCTCCACCTTACCAAACACGACATCCTTCTCCAGTGACTGGTCCCTCCTGACAATGTGTCCAAAGTATGAGAGACGAAGCTTAGCCATCCTGGCCTCCAAGGAGCACTCTGGCTGCACTTCTTCCAAAACAGATCTATTGGTTCTTTTGGCAGTCCATGGCACTTTCAGTATTCTCCTCCAACACCACAACTCAAAGGCATCAATTCTTCTACGATCCTCCTTATTCACTGTCCAGCTTTCACATGCATATGAGGTTATGGAAAATACCATGGCTTGGGTCAGGCACACCTTAGTCCTCAAGCTGACATCTTTGCTCTTCAACACTTTAAAAAGGTCTTGTGCAGCAGATTTGCCGAATGCAATACGTCGTTTGATTTCTTGACTGCTGCTTCCATGAGTGTTGGTAGTTGATCCAAGAAGAATGAAGTCCTTGACAACAGAATGTTGTTTATTGATCCAGTGGTGAGGAGTTTTGTTTTCTTCACACTGAGGTACAATCCATACCGAAGGCTGTGCTCTTTGATCTTCATCAGTATTTTAAGTCCTCTTCACTTAGGGCAAGCAAGGTTGTATCAACTACAAATCGTTGTGTTTCCTGGTACCCCTTATATTCTGCACCCTCCTTGCTTCAGTCATGAGGACCACATAAGGGTTATTTATTATATTCTGAGGCTGCCTAGAGCATGCTGGGTGGGAGATAGCAGAGGGTCAGCCCACCTGCCGGCCGCCCTCAGACTGTCCCTCTTGGCTGTCTGACAGGTATCTGGTGGTGGGCTAAGAGCAGGCCACTTGCTTATCGGGAAGCATGGTGATTGTCCATCCCCATTACCTGCTGCCCCCACACACGGAGCCTCTTTCCTTCCTCGCTCTCCAGGCTGGAGAACCACTTGAAGACTGTCTAGCATGCAGCCTGCCTTTCCTCTGACTCCTGACTTGGTTCTCCAGTGCTGCTGTAACAGAAATACCACAAGGAAATGGCTTTAACAAACAGAAATGTATTTCCTCACAGTGCAGGAGGCGAGAAGTCCGACTTTGGAGCACCATTTCTGGGGAGAGGTCTTCATTTCCTTTTGGTATCTGTAGGCCCAATGTTCCTTGGAGCTCTCCATGCATCTTGGCATCAAACTTGCCCTGGGTCTGGGAGTTTCATGGCCTCCTGGTGTGGGACTGTAGGATTAGCACTGAACTTCAAACCCCACGGTCAGCAGTTCAAACCCACCTGCTCCTCAGAAACCCTATACACGATCGCTAGGAGTCAGAACCAAGTTGATGCAGCTTAACAACAACAGGACCTTCCCAGTACGGGGATTCCAGGTCCAAAGGACACATTCCACTCTTTGGTGGTAGGAGGTCTCTCCTTGCCTCAGTTCTTCCTCCATGTATCTCTTATAAGATACAAGGCATTGAAGGCCACGCCCCTAAGGAAACTTCCTTTCAGTTGATTGGTTGCTCATAGCAGAGCTCATCATGGAAGTGTTTACACTGTATCAGATTTCATCATGGGGGGGGGGGTCACTACAACTATAAGAGCAAACCACCAGAATCCTGGCCCAGGCACATGGACACAAAACCTTAACTATGACTGTCCCCTTCCCTACCCTTTTCGGGGTTCGTATCAGTCTTTTTTTTTTTTTAAATATATATATATATATATATATCTGCTTCCGTTTGAATAGTTTCTGCCGCTACGTCTTCACGTTTGCAGATCTTTTGCAATAGCTCATCTATTGCTGATTCCTCCTAAGAACATTTTCCATCTCAAGCATGGGCTTTGCAATCTCTATAAGTTCCATCTTTTTATATGTTCCATATCTCTCCCTCTTATGTTTATATTTTCCTTTGTTGTTGTTGTTAAGTGCCATTGAGTGGATTCCAACCCATAGCGACCCTGTATAGGGTTTCCAAGGAGCAACTGGTGAGCTTGAACCAGCAACCTTGCAGTTCAAACAGCTTTGCAATCTAAACCTATTTACAGTGGATGTTTTTAAAGCCATTGTCTTCCCGTTTCACATGGCTTTTATTCCTGGGTCTATTTCGTTAACTGATTTCTTTTCTCCCTGGCTACGAGTGATATTACGCAGTTTCTTCTCATGACTAGTAAATTTTCATTGGATGTTGGACCTTGTAGATTTCATGTGGATGAAAGCTGGGTTTTCTTGGGCTCTGTGTTGACAGACAGACTATTTGTGGATCAGCATGATCTGTTTGAGACTTGTTTTTAGACTTGGCAGTGGGGGCTGTTGTAAGATACCACCCAGTTGGTGCTAAATCATAACAACCCTATACACAGTAGGACAAATCGGCCTGGTCCTACATCATCCTCGGAATTGCAGCTTTGCTTCAGCCATTGCTACTGTCACTATGCCGATCCACCTTGTTGGAGGTCTTTCTCTTTTTCACTGACCAAGCATGATGTCCTTTTCCAGGGACTGGTTCCCCTGAGATCTCTGTAGCTGTCTCTGTGTGTGTATAAATCGAACTGATTTTAACTCATGCAGACTGTATCTGTCCGAGTAGAACTGTGCTCTACTGAGTTTTCAGTGCTGAGTTTTCAGAACCAGATCACCAGGGCTTTATAGACAGACTCAACCCTCCAGCCTTCAGTTAGCTGAGCATAGTCACCGTCTGCACCGTGCAGGGCCCTCTAAGTTTCTGCTTCACTCTCTATTTACTGGGACTTTGCCTTACAAGTCCCAGAGGCCTCTGCCTGTCCGACTGCATCCCCTCAACCCCATGGAAACACCATGCTCCACTTTTGTGGCCCAGACACTGCCTCCAGGCAGGGAGGTGGGGCGTCATGAACTCACTTGGGTTGCTCCCTTTCCTCAGCACCGAGCTATCTGCAGTCCAATGTCTGAATGCAGGAGTTTCATACATGTTGTCCAGTGTCCAAGCGGGTAAGTCCAGTCCCAGTCACGGCAGCCTGGTCAGAAGCTGTCTGTCCGTGCTGTAGGGGGCTGGGGTCACGTGTGTTCCATGCCAGAAACCAGTACCAGTCCCTACCCCCATGCCCCTCAATGGGTAACCAGAAGTGTTAGCAAGCCTGAGATACAGAGGAGCCCTGGGAGCACAGAGGGTTAAGCACTGGCCTGCTAACCACGAGGTCTGTGGTTCAAACCCCCTAGTTGCTCCTCAGGAGACAGATGAGGCTGTCCTACCCTGCCCTGTAGGGTCCCCATGAGTCCAGCCAGCTCCAGGACAGTGATTTTACTGGGTTTTATCAGGGAGGTGTCGGGGCACTGTTCTCCAGGGTGACAGGTGCCCCATGGGGTCTGAGCTGGGCACACATAGGGGCTTCATAAAATCTGGCTGAATGAATGAGTAAATGAACAGTTGAACAAATGAATGAACTAGAGCAGACTGGGGGGTCCTTTCAGCCAGGCTAAAGAGGCTGATTCTTTCTTAGAGACATGGGAACAAGTGAGAGAGTCCAGAGGTCAGAGGTGAGAGGAGAGGCAGAGGTGGGTGCACGGCATGGACGCTGAGGCAGGTTGGTCCCAGCACATGCTGTGGGCAGACTGACGGTCAGGGACGTGGAGAGACCAGGGGTCTGGCAGCATCTGGAGCTCAGGTGGCTAGGGGGTGGTGTGGACAGCGCATGAGAGCTGAGACCTGCAGGGTCACTGAGGAGACCTGCTGAGGACAAGGATAACGTGTGGCCAGGTCACAGCCTACAGGACCATGGAGATGCCAGGGGAGGCCGGAGGCCATGGGAAGTGAGGGCTGGGGTGGCCCGAGCAGGTCCATGCAGGGGGTGGGGAAGAAAGACAGCGGACAGGGCAAAGGAGACCTAGGGGTGTTCCAGGCTCAGCAGAGGGTGAGACAGACAGAGGGATAGATGGGTGCCTCCTGGGAAACGTCGAGAGCATGCCTCTGGCCACCAGCACGGAACCTGGACAGGCTGAGAGTCCCCTGAGTGGGTCCCTGCCATGCAGCCAGACATGGCTGCCCCCAGCACTGAGCTGCCCAGTGAGGAAAGGGAAGCTGCTGTAACAAGCAGGGTGAGGGTCAGGGGGGCCCAGGGTGAGCTGGGGCAGGAGGAGGGGCCTGATGGGGGGTCCAGAGGAGCACTCACCGGCATACGGCACACACGAAGCAATCAGGATGGTAGGTCTTGCCTAACGCCGAGACCACCTCACCCTCGATGAACTGGTCACAGCTGAAGCAGCGGGTGCCGTACAGCCTCTGGTAGTCCTGCACACAGATGTGGTCGCCCTGCCGCACGAAGAACCCGCCCTCGGCCAGGTCACAGCCGCACACTGGGGACAGCAGAGAGGGCTGAGTGCTGTTGGAGTCCCAACAACCACGGCCTCAGAGGGACTGTGCAAATCTGGGGACTGGGGGGGACTGTACAAATCTGGGGACTGGGGGGGACTGTACAAATCCACACCGTGGGAGACCAGGCTAAAGTGGCCTGAGAAATCTAAGGTCCTCAGAAGTGAAGGGAGTCCTAGTGTAGCGTTGTAGGATCCACACTGGACTGCAAACCACAAGGTCGGCAGTTCAAACCTACCAGTCACTCCTTGGAAACCCTGTACAAGGTCTAGTGGTTAGTAGCCCAGTGCTTATCCTATAGAGCCACACCAGGACCTCTGACCCAAGTTGTTAAACGCCATCAAGTTGGTTCCAACTCAAAGCAATCCTGTATAGGGCTTCTGAGGAGCAGCTGATGGGTTTGAACCACCAACCTTGTAGTTAGCAATGTGGTGTAATCCTACAGTACCACACCAAGATACTGCTGTTAAATGCTGTCTAGTCAGTTCTGACTCATAATGACCCTGTATAAGGTTTCTGAGGAGCAGTTGGTGAGTTTGAACTACCAACTTTGCGGTTCAAACTGACCTTTTGGTCCAGTGCTTTCATACACAAGAATTCCACCAGAATACTGGTACAGAATTATCCATTAAATCTTGCTTGCTTCATCACACAGAATCACCACAGTAACTGATTTTTCTGTGGCACAGACCACGCGCGCCTACCTTGACCGCAACAGACACATATATGATATAAATGAAGGACTTCAAAAGTTTGAAGAAAAATTCCATTATCTTTTAACCTGATTTTTCCATGAACTTTTTGAAATCTTCTTGTATACATCATAGATGTTGTGTGCTATTATGTTATGTATATTGTAGTTGTTGTTAAGTGCCGTCAAGTCATTTCGGACTCACAGCAACCATGTACAGCATTTCCAAGGAGTGGCTGGGTGGGTTTGAACTGCTGACCTTGTGGTTCAAAGTCCAGTGCTGACCCTACAGCACCACATCAGGAGTTCATGTTATACATATGTTGTTGTTGTAGTTAAGTGCCATCGAGTTGGTTCTGACTCATAACAACCGTGTATAGGATTTCCAAGAAGCAGCTGGTGAGTTTGAACCACCGACCTTGTGGTTCAAACTGACCTTGTGGTCCAGTGTTTTATCCCACAGCTTCACACCAGTATCTTATGTGTTGTATATGTTACTGATGACAATGAATTAAACATACATTGGGAAGGGATGGACTTTATTATGACTGAGTAATACACAGCCATCATAATGACTTTATAGTCACTGAAATGTAAACATTGTTACAAACGATAATTAAATGAGAAGCGGGTTAGGCAGCAACATGGAAAATCCAGGGCAAGAACTAAATAAATGAAACACTGCCCACAAAGTTACGTTGCTCTCAATATTGAAATAACAGGCAGGATTTGAGTGTTGGTTTTCTGAAATTGAGTTGTCCAATTTATCTACAAAAAGATAGACTGTGTGTATAATAAAAATTTGCTGTAAGTAAATTTTTTAAAAAGTCAAATGACTGCATCTGATTCAGATTCACCTTACGGTTTATGAGATGTTGAACCTGCTGCAGTCGATGTGTATATTTGCCCTTCAAAAACAAGAAAAAAGACTCCTTGAGGAGCTGAGAAGAATGATGGAGAAGCTTAGACGAGGACTTTCCCCCGGAACCTTCTTGTGCCCTGAGTTCAGACTACAAGAAAATAAACGCCTGTTCCTTAAAAGCCCCCCTTGTGGTATTTGTGGCAAGGCATCAGGAGAACATCAAGGCAGATCTGGTCTCATCTGAATGAATGTGGGTACTCTCTCCTCACCCTGGAGGGACCGCCTGTGGTCTTAGGGGCTCTGTGGTCTCTGTCTTCTGGATACAGACTTTGCCTTCTGTCCACCGCACCCAGGGGGCCACTTGGCTCTCCTCCCAGGCTCTGAACTCAGGGTGAAGGGACCCCCCCCTTGGCAGTCCCCACCCATAAGCCCCCTCCCTGCCAGGAACAAAGGCTACACTGAAAAGCTCACACACTACACGGAGTTTCTGGACTTGCAAAGAATGTTCTGGAGTCTCAGACTCACCCTTGCAGACAAAGCACTTGATATGGAAAAACTTCTTCTGCACACGAAGCACCTCACCCTTGCACACGGCCCCGCAGGTGTGACACAGGACCGCAGTGCTGGGCGGCTTCTCCAGGGTGCCGGGGGCCACCTGCGGCTGGGACACTACAGGAAAAAAAAGGCAAGTTGGGGACCTTAGTGGCCGTGCCCCAAGACCCACCAGATCTCCAGAACTGGAACATGGTAACTGTGTGTTGTTTCAGCCACAAAAGCTGTGGTCACTTTTAACAACAGCAAACTCACAGCAAGACAGGCCCTCCAAGCAGAGAGACGCAGCTGGACCTCAACACCAACCCGCCACCGTCCCCCCAATTGATTCTGATCCATAGTGACCCTGTATAGGTTAAAGCAATTTCGAAGTCAGCACATTGCCCTGCAGCGCCACACACTACACCAGGAGTTCAGTAAACAGTAGCTGCTATCCTTCCCAAAAATACAGGGCATGATGGGGCCAGTGTCTGACTCCTGAAGACAGCTAGCTGGTCTGGGAAGAATGACATGAAGAACTATGTCCTACCCCGAGGACAGGGTTTCCCACCCAATTCCACCCCCTGGGGCAGCCCTGAGGCCCCTGGGTGGCCACTCAAGTGCCAGCCTACAGCTGGGCAGATTGAACCCACACAGCCATGCCACAAAAGAAATACCTGGCCATCTGCATCCGTAAAGGTTACAGTCACGAAAACCCCATGAAGCAGTTCTGCCATGACACACATGCGATGCTATGGGTCATGGTCGGGTATAAGGATTTGGCTTTTATTGAGGTGGAGGGAGCAGGCAATCTTAAGACCACCTTCAGGGGTTCAGGTGTAGGGCCAAATCATGGAGCTACTGCCCTCTGGTGGTGTGAAACAGACACTGCAGTCATGACTAAGGAGGACGCCAGGTTTTCTCTGCAGCTCAGATGCACGTGGCCAGTGGTGAGTTTGGACTGGGCTTCCTTCCTTATGCCTCTACTGCACTGTGAGGAGCTCTGCCTGCTTGCTGTCCTAACATCCCCATTTTCGCAGGTCAGGTCTGCAGTGTGGTGGTTACATGCGCAGATGCTAATCGAAAAGGTTGGACCCACCAGGCATTCCATGGGAGAAATATTGCCATTGTTAGGTGCCCTCAAATCAGTTCTGACTCTAGCCACCTCATACACAACACTGTTCACGCTTCAGGTAGCAATGTAATGTTACAATGTCGTAGCATCGTAACTGTAAACTATAAACATGTTTCAAGGTTTCAAAATGGTTAGAACATTTATCCGCAGGAGTTCCTGGAGACCACTCCACTTTGACACTACAGAGCCCCGGCTCCCTCAGCCAGCTCAGCTACTGGCGTCTTAAGAGGAATATTCTAAATATGGAATTGGATCCCAGGGCAAGTGTGTCCTGCCACACACGACCTTCCCCATTTGTGCCCTGCCTCCTGGGGTGGGGCTCCTTGTCCTGGGAACTCTGAGTCTAGGTGACCCTGGGTTTCAGAGTGGCCTGGCCCCTCCCCCAGTGTCACTTGTAGGGGATTCACACAAAACCACGTGGTGAGACCAGCTTCCTTCCCAACCTACTTATGGCTGCCTGCTAATTATAACCAAGAGCCAGGCAGCTGCTCTCTAGAGAGGCCGTAGGCAGAGTGGGCTCCTCGGCCTGACTGCCCCCATGCTGCAGACCTGGCAGTTCTGATGCTAGAGCAAAGCGCACATTCAGTTCCTCAGTTCAATCGAGAGGCATGAGGACCCACCCTGTGCTAAGCGCTAGCTAGGGACCAACCAGGACACAGAGCCAGGGAGCTCCCGGCCAATGGCAGGGGTGGGGGTGGGGTGGACACCACCCCAAGCAGGAAGGCAAGTGAGCTCCGGGCTCAGACCTGTAGGGACCCTGTCTCCACATCCTTGCCTGCTGTTGTCTCGCAGGCTTGTCTCCCACAGGCTTTACTCCATTCATGTCATCACGGTCAGCTCTACTTTGAGGAGGCAGCTCTTCCCCAGTCATATTTTGAGTGCCTTCCAACCTGAGGGGTTCATTTTCAGGCACTATATCTGACAGTGTTTCTCTGCTATTCATAAGGTGTTCAGTGACTAAAGATTCGGAAGCAGTTCATCACTCTTTCTCCCTAGTCTGTCTTCATCTGGAAGCTCATCTGAAACCTGTCCACCATGGGTGACCCTGCTGGTGTTTAAAATACAGGTGGCATAGCTTTCAGAATCACAGCAACTCACAAGCCACCACAGTAGGACACACAGACAGATGACACACAGTAGGACACACAGACAGACGAGTGGTAGGTGCAGCCTCTGTGAACACTCTCTGTGTTTCTGGCCTGCCAGCTGTGTGTAAGGGGAGGAGGGGTTAGGCCCTGCCCCACAAGACAGCCATCAGCTCTGCTCTGTCTTAGGTCCCATGAACTGGACACAGGGCTTGGGCCCCAGTGTTTGCAGAATGGAAGAGAGGGTATGACAACGTCCACTCATGTTCCTAACTGGCCACCTTCCAAATGCTCCTCTCAGAACCTCGGCCTCTGGTCCTACACCAGCCTCACAGGTGCTGGTACACTTGAGCCCATCACTGCTGCTCCTGAGCCAATCCATCTCGTTCATGGCCTTCCTCTTTTTCCTGACCTTCCACTTTACCAAGCAATCAAGATACACTGTTAATTACTGGTGATTGGAACGCAAAGGCTGGAAACAAAGAGGAAGAATCAGAAGTTGGAAAATACAGCCTTGGCGATGGAAGTGATGCTAGAGATGCAAGACCAATGACTTCTTCATTGCAAATACTTTTTTAAACAACATAAAAAGATGACTATATACATGGACCTCACCAGATGGAATACACTAAAATCAAGTCTACTACATCTGTGAAAAACGCCTATCATCAGCCAAATGAAGGCCAGGGGTAGACTGTGGAACAGACCATCAATTGTTCTTATGCAAATTCAGGCAGAAGCTGAAGAAAATTAAAACAAGTTCACGAGAGCTAAAATATGACCGTAAACATATCCCACCTGAACTTTGACATAATCTCAAGAAAAGAGTGGCTGCATTAGACATCAAAGACCAAAAACCAGAAGAATTGTGGGATAACATCAAGAACATCATACAGAGAAAAGTGCAAAAGGTTATTAAAAAGACAAAAGAGAAAGGAAAGACAAAAAGGGATGTCAGAGGAAAGACTCTGAAACTCAAGATGACAAAGTCAAGTATTATAATGACATGTGCAAAGACCTGGAATTAGAAAACCAAAAAGGAAGAACATGCTCAGCATTTCTCAAGCTGAAAGAACTAAAGAAAAAATGCCAAACCTCGACTTGTAATACTGAAGGATTCTCGGGCAGAGTATTGAAGGATGCAGAAATGGAAGGAACACACACAGTCAGTGAATCAGAATGAAATGGTTGATGTTCATCCAGCTCAAGAGGTAACGCATGATCAAAAACTGATGGGACTGCAGGAGGAGGTCCAAGGTGCATTGGAGGCATTGGCAAAAACAAGGTTCCAGGAATTAACAGGAATCCTGGTGTGGTGACGCAGGATAAGCACTAAACTGCTAACTGAAAGGTCGGCAGTGCAAACCCATCAGCCGCTCCTTGAAGACCCTATACATAGGGCCACTATGAGTCAGAATTGATTCAACAACACTTATCAACAACAGGATTTGACAGAATACAAATTGAAATCTTTCAGCCAACTGATGCAGCTCCGAAATTGCTCACTCATCTCTGCCAAAAAATTTGGAAGACAGCTACCTGGCCAACCAATTGGAAGAGATCCATATTTGTGCCCATTCCAAAGAGAAATGGCCCAATAAAATGCAGAAATCACTGAAAAATATTATTACTATGCCATGGAAGTAAACTTTTGATGAAGATGAAAACTGGTTACAACAGGACATTGACAGGAAATGGCTACAAATTCAAGTCAGATTCAGAAGAGGACATGGGACAAGAGGACGTCAGATGGAACTTGGCTGAAAGCAGAGAACACCTGAAAGATGTTTCCCTGTGCTTTATTGACTATGCAAAGGCTTTCAACTGTGTGGATCATGAGAAGTCCATAGACAACATTGCAAGGAACACTCATTGTGCTTATGAGAAACCTCAACTATATACATAGACCAAGAGGCAGCACTTCAAACAGAGCACGGGACACGGAATGGTTTAAAACCAAGAAACATGTTAGCCAGAGTTGTATTCTTTCACCATATTTACTCAATCTGTATTCTGAACAAATAATTCTAGAAGCTATATTACATGAAGAACATGGCATTAGGATTGGAAAAAAACTCATTAGTCATCTGTGATCTGCAGATGATACAACCTTGCTTGCTGGAAGTGAAAAGAACTTAAAATACTTGCTGATAAAAAGGAAAGACTATAGCTTTCAGTATAGATTCCACCTCAACATAAAGAAAAGGAAAAGCCTCACAAGTGGATCAAAAGATCACATCATGATGTTATGGAGAAAAATGGACATTGTCAAAGACTTCATTTTGCTTGGATCCACCATCAACACTCATGCAAGCAGCAATCAAGAAATCAAACAACTTATTTATTGCATTAGGCAAATCTGCTGCACAAGACCTCTTTAAAGTGTTCAAGAGCAAAGATGTCAATCTGAGAACTAAGGTTGGGTGCCTGACCCAAGCCATGGTATTTTTCAATAACCTTATATGTTTGTGAAAGTTGGACAATGAATAGGAAGACTGGAGAAAAGTTGATGCATTTGCATTATGGTTTTGGAGAAGACTATTAAAAGTAATCTGAACTTTCAGAAGAACAAACAAATCTGTCTTGGAAGAAGTGTAGCCAGAACCACAATGGTGAGACTTCATTTCTCATACTTCAGACACATTATCAGGAGGGACCAGTCCCTGAAAAAGGACATCATGGTTGGTAAAGTCGAGGGTTAGGGAAAAAGAGAAAGATGCCCAACAAGATAGATTGGCACAGTGGCAGCAGTGATGAGCTCAAACTTGGCAACAACTCAGAAGATGGTACAGTACTGGGCAGTGTTTCGTTCTGCTGTGCATAGGGTCATTCGAGTCAGAACCATGGTCAGCGCCTGACAACCACAACACCACCATTTGAATGGATCAGTTCTTTGGTGATATGCCTGCCATAGAGTTGGTTCTGACTCAAAGTGTATAGGGTTTCTGAGGCTGTAAATCTTTACGGGAGCAGAAAGTCTCATCTTTCTCCCGCGGAACAGCTGGTAGGTTTGAACTGCTGACCGTGAAATTAGCAGCCTGACTCATACCCACTATACTACCAGAGCTCCTTAGAGCTAGTGTTTTCATTGTCCGTATTTCGTGTGCATATGTGATGACAGAAAAGACCAGGACTTGTGTGGAGCCCACCTTCCCCCTCAGAGTGACCCTACCCAGAACCAAAGTCTTGTCGATTCTGACTCACAGCGACCTGTAGGACAGAAGAAAACTGCTCCACAGGGTTTCAGAGGCTGCACATCTTTGCCGGGGCATACTACCTCATCTTTTTCCTGAGGGGCAGTTGGTGAGTTCAAACTGCCGACCTTTAGGTTATGAGCCCATCACTTAATCCATTGCAGTACCAGGGCTCCTTCAGGGTGACCCAGCAAGTGTTCATTCAGCTGGTGGGACCAGCGCACGTCTTCTCTGGCACACAGCATGCTGGGTAGTACATTTGTGTTTGTGTTTCAGAGCCCCTTCCAACAGCATGTGGTGGCGCAGTGGGTCACAAGATGGGCTGCTCACTGCAAGGTCAGCAGTTCGA